CATGGAGGGTCAAAATATAAAGATTATACATGGAGGGTCAAAATATAAAGATTATACATGGAGGGTCAAAATATAAAGATTAAACATGGAGGGTCAAAATATAAAGATTAAACATGGAGGGTCAAAATATAAAGATTAAACTTGGAGGGTCAAAATATAAAGATTAAACATGGTGGGTCAAAATATAAAGATTAAACATGGAGCCTGGAGGGTTAAAAACCCTATAATAACTTTTTGTTTCCAACGTTAAACAACAGATTTGAAAAATATGAGACTTTAAAGATAACTGTATTATTGTTACCCAGTCATTAAATATACGACCAAAAGATGTTTAGGTAGCTTTTAATCCTTTGTGGGTAACCCTGTATATTCTTTACCCGTTCTTTAAGTAAACAAAGAAAAATTGCGCTTTAGAATGTATATGTCTTGGGTTACAAAATGAATAAGTGAATTGGTGAGGTAAAACCAAAGGACAAGGCGTTGCGACAATTTAAAGTCGATGCTGTCTGAAAATTTGATGCAAAGAAAACAAAAAACAACTTGCACTCATGCAAACTTGACTAATAATCAGAATATACTTTCTTTAAATGAACCAAAGTTTCCAGAGCTGAAAACTTTAGAGTGGTGGATATCGAGATTAATGCGTGATCCTTTCTTTTTCATAAAATCGAGACTAATCTAATCTTGTACTTGTATCCTGAAAAGTGTATAAAGTTCAACCAATCAGAGTCGCATATATGACGCAGATAAATTTGAAATTTTGAGCGCCATTTAAGATTATATACTTAAATGGGAGGAACTCTCTAATTTAGAAAAACCTGTTTTTGATTTTTCTCTACTATATATCCAAGAAAGAGTGGTTTAAGAAGAAAATAAAAAGTGTGTCCATTGGATACTCGGACACCATTTACTGTTAGCGCCAGTTGAAGGATTCATAACTCTAATTGAATAATGAGATAGATAGAAAGATAGATGTTACCGTCAAACTATTTCTATTGGTTCAGAATAGACAACAAACACATGACTGAACCCTGATTGGATCAGACGCTAATGGACTTGGCATACTGGAGTGCGCGGATTAAGTAATCGGGATTAAGGATATCTCATTCTAAAGTTTTCAGCTCAGTTCTTTTTACTAAAAAAGATTCACTTGATTTTTTATAGCTCAGTGTTACTAACTGCCTAAGGCTGAGGTTTTGTTTTTATTCCTCCAAGAAAATGTGATGCTTATTTTTATAAAACATATAATTATATATTTCTTGGTGTTAGTGTGTGATAATTTGTAAACATTCGTTCATTTATATTTCGTCTTTCTTTGTCTTTATTTGCTATATCTACTTTCCGCTGAAAAAGAAGAAATGGAGTCATTATTTTTTGTTAATAAATTGTTAGTGGAATGACAGATTAAAACAGCATGCATCATGTGAAACCACCGTAAAAATCATTTGTTAAAAAGTCACCAAAATGGAAGATTTAACTCAATTGTTATCTTTTCTTCTTAAATTTTACAATTTGATAAGACGCGATTGTTTGGAAAACACCGAAATTTTTCTCTCTTGCGGAAAAAAAACTCTAAAAAAAACTTTTAGAATTGAAATTTTTTAGGCAACCGTCATTTAAGTTTTGTCCTTATCAGGGGTGACCCTGAAGTCTACTAGATCGGAGCCAGTACATTTCGTACATCATATGAAATATAGTTCATATTTCTTAAAATATATATTCTTTAAGTATTTAGAGTTTTTATATTAAATATGTAAATTGTGTTTTTAAATGCAACATAAAACTCGTGGCCTGAAAGGTTAAGGCCCAAGATTGTTAATTGTATATCGTGATGCTACGGGATTAAATTCATCAGAGTATTTATAAATAAAAAGTAAATAGAGATAATCAGCAAATTGTGTAAAACAATTTCTAGGCAAATATGAAAAGAAGATCTGAAAGCGGGTTTTCATCAATCGTCAATAGAAAACTGGAAACATTTAAATTAAAAAAAGACGATTATCTCTATAGATATCTAACGATTTTTACATACTCCTGAGATAACAGTTCTTACCAAGCTTTTTGTGGAGTCCTTGTAGTGCTTCCTTACAGTAACAACAAGGAGTTTACTCCCACTCCTGTCCCTGTTCCGGGCAAATACTCCCCCAACCTAGACATATACATAAAAGGAGTTTACTCCCACTGCACTCCTGTCCCTATTTCGGGAAAATACTCCCCCAACCTAGACATATATACATACAAGGAGTTTACTCCCACTCCTGTCCCTTTTTCGGGAAACACTCCCCCAACCTAGACATGTACATACAAGGAGCTTAGTCCCACTCCTTTTCCTATTCCGGTAAAATACAGAGGTAGGCGATTTAATCAATACAATGAAGACAACTTGCGTTTTCAATTTTGATTTATATCAAGCTGTTTAGCAACATGGATTCACATAGACATAGAAGTCAAGAAAAGCTGTCAATCACAAAAGATTCTCTTTGATTACTTGTAAACTTGTAATTCTATAAAAGCTTGTTAACACTCAGAACTTGAATAAAAACGTCGTCTTCATCGTATTGCTATGATCTCCTGCCATTGTACTCCCTCAACCTAGGCATATACACTGTACAGGGAGTCATAATACAAATACAACAAAGGTAAATTTAAGTTTTTGTTTTTAAAATCTTGCATGCATTAAAGCATGACTTTTTTAATGCTATTTTTATCTTATCTTTTTACCTTTTTATCCATAGGATCAATGTCGTCTTCAGTTATACCTCGGACCCCAAACTCCTCTCTCCATCTTTAAAAAAGCAAAGTTATCAAAACAACTTTTTTAGAAATTTTAAGATAAAAAAGATTAACAATAAAAAAGCTAAAAATTACCTAAGTGAATTTATTATTAGATTTTTACAATTTTCTATTTGATCTCCAGGCATATGATAGGCATGGAACCAAAACCTAAACAAATAGATCTTTTATCTTTTATATATAAATAATTATAATAATAAATGAATAATAATAATCACCGATTAAAGTAGTTCTTATTATTAATGATCTCCTTGAAATCTACAGGATTGAACTGCTCCTGTAGTTCTGTAACCTTGCTCAGGATGTATTCTCTCTCCTCCTTTAGATAAACGAAGATTTAAGGATAGAATACTGTTCCACATTTTTAAGATCGCTAAATCCTTTACACTTTTGGTTTATAATCATTTTTTTCTTATTTTTGTTTATGTTCTGCAATCTTTGTTTTTCTTTTCAATTTTTTTTTGTTTTCAATTTTTTTTTAGAATCTTTGCTTTTCTTTTCAATGTTTTCCTTAGAATCTTTGTTTTGTTTTCAATCTTTGTTTTTAATCTTTGTTTTTGACTAAAATCTTTGATTTTCAAATCCACGTAATAAACTTTGAGGTTTAGTTTTTAGCATATTCACGGTTAATTTGAATTAAATGACTTGTAATTCCAAACTTCACTATTGTGACATGGTAGATTTTAACTCTCATGCAATTAAAATTTAACTATTCAAGATGTTATGATTACAAATTATTCAAGATATGGATTTAACAAATTATGAAAGATACATTTTATTCCGGTTTAATAAAAAATGGATTTCACGGTCAAATACTGCAGAAAATGCATTAGATGCATTAATCAACGTGCAATTTTTTTATTAATTGCATGCACCAGCAGAGACAGACTTATGACAAACAGTCAAATGCTGTATTTGTAATGCAGTCTATCATAACACTTTTTATCATTATTTTGCATTCCGTAATTAAATTTCTTTTTTAACTCTTTTTAACCCTTTATGAGGGGAAGGGGGGGGGGGTTGATATAGTTATAGTTTGTTTTCAGCACTCTTATTGAAACATGTGCCAAATGGTAATCTATGTAAAAAAATTAAGTTTTTCACATTTTTACGACTATACTTTTAGTTGAAATCTCCACAACACCTGAACCATTGAACTTGTGAGTAATGCAATTTTTGAACTGGCCTTGAAGGTATGAACCTTTAGAGGTTATAGGGGTGTGAATTTGCTTGAAACTATATATTTAATCCATAATTATTAGAATAAAGAGAGAAAAAAATCTAATTAATTCTTTTATTTTAATTACCTTCGTAGGTTTTTCTCCTTCAACCTTCGTGGTTTTCACAATTTTTTCAAGCTTTTCTATTTTTTCTGTTTTCTCGATCATTTTTCCATTTATCTTTTTCTCGTCCTTCATCCGTTCGACCTCTGTTCTCTCATCCTCGATCCCCTCGTCCTCAGTTTTATCATCCTCACTCTCATCCTCAACTTTCTCATCTTTATTCCTGGGTTTCCCGTTTTTTAATTGCCCACTAAAGGAATCTTTATTTTTATTCTCCCCACTGATGTCCTTCATCTGGATTAATTCTATCTCCTTGGCCTCTTTTCCGACCTCTGGTTCGTGAGCCTCTTTTCCGACCTCTGGTTTGGGAATCTCTTTTCCAAGCTCAACCAGTTTCATTCTAAACCTATAGGAGGGGTTTATTTCTGAAAAAATGTAAATTTTGAATTAAAGGGAGTTTTCATGATTTTAGAAGAGATTAGAGCGTAAATCATAAATAAATATTTGTATTTACCGGAAATGTCTAAAAATAGTTTTTATGAAAAAAATCCTCATCGTCCTTCAGAGTTAGTTCATTAAAAAACATGAATAATCCATTGCAAATTATTTAGTTCTAAGCTTGGGAACCCAGCTTTTCCTGGAAACTAAGATTAGAACTTTAAACCCGAACTATAAGAACATAACCGACAGAACCGTTTTACTACCGAGTTTTCCAATCAAAGATTGAAGCAAATCGGCCCAGGAGTGCCTGAATTATTATCAGAATATACTCGTCTCTTTTTTATAATCCGGTAAAATTAACTATTAGACTCAAATATATTTTCAGGTACATTGATAATCTATTTGATATGACTGGGGTTTCTGTGCAGTACATTGTATGAAGGTATTATGGGTGTAAAGAATGTTATTGCTTTTAATAATAATAACGAGAATTAAAGATTTTACAATACTGTACTGCATGCACGAATAAATAATGAATACTTGATATGTGAACTACATTCTGTACTACAATACATGTACCCTTACATATATTAAATTAAGTATGCTACATGTACTATATAAAATGTACATCTGTATTGTACAAAACATCAATGTACAAAAAAGCGAACAAAAACATACAATAGCATAAAACGCCACTGTATCATTTTATTTTACTTCACCTGCGATTGCGGAATTAAAAATTAACAGTTAAAAGTACATCTGTAAAATTTGCAACACAATATACAAGACAAAGAGTTAATATGTACGTGTACAAACTTTTAGGATACCGCATGTACTAAAGGGTTACCATCAAAGGGTGATACTAAAGAGACAATTATACGGAATTTATAAAACCTTTCCTACAGTATTGATTCCCTTCAAATTAAAACAGACCAAATTCAACCTTCAGATCACTATATCTTATGACTTTAGGTCGTTATTAAAGTCTCATCCTTTGTGGGTAACCCTGTACAATTCTTTAGCTGTAAATATACTAAGGATACCCGAAAATAGGAGAATTCAAAGACGACGTTGCTTTGCTTGAATTCTTGGTTCCCTCCCTACATTAACTACTGTGAAGTGTAAACTTGTTTCTCTCTTTTCGAAATCCTTGAGTAACCAATTTTAATACAATATTTATGAATCCTTGAGTAACTCATTTTAATACAATATTTAAGAACTTGAGTAACCAATTTTAATACAATATTTATGAATCCTTGATTAACTCATTTTAATACAATATTTAAGAATCCTTAAGTAACTCATTTTAATACAATATTTATGAATCCTTGAGTAACTCATTTTAATACAATATCTAAAAATCCTTGAGTAATCCATTGTAATACAATATTTAAGAACTTGAGTAACCCATTTTAATACAATATTTGAGAATCCTTGAGTAACCCATTTTAATACAATATTTAAAAATCCTTGAGTAACTCATTTTAATACAATATTTAAAAATCCTTGAGTAACTCATTTTAATACAATATTTAAGAATCCTTGAGTAACTCATTTTAATACAATATTTAAAAATCCTTGAGTAATCCATTTTTATATAATATTTAAGAACTTGAGTAACCCATTGTAATACAATATTTGAGAATCCTTGAGTAACCCATTTTAATACAATATTTAAAAATCCTTGAGTAACCCATTTTAATACAATATTTGAAAATCCTTGAGTAACCCATTTTAATACAATATTTAAAAATCCTTGAGTAAACCATTTTAATACAATATTTAAGAACTTGAGTAACCCATTTTAATACAATATTTAAGATAGAAGACATACAATAATCTCAAGACCTAAGTTTTAAAGTCTTTCCTTTGCAGGTAACCCTGTACAAGTCACTGTGTTATATTGTTTGCAAATCACTGAAACGTACTGCATTATATGTAGTGTTTAACCGGTGTTCAGAACCTATGTATCCTTGTGTATTCTGGTTTCCAAGTTGAAGGTTGAGCTTGAACTGTTCGTTAATCTCTACTCTCTGTATACTTCACTTCACCAGTCAAACATCATCCAACTTTTCCTTTCATTTCATCTTATGTCTATCCATCTATCTATCTATCTATCTATTCATCTATTCATCTATCTATCTATCTATCTATCTATCTATCTATCTATCTATCTATCTATCTATCTATCTATCTATCTATTAAACCACCTATCTCTATCTATCTATCTAACCATCCATCTGTATCTATCTATCTGTCTGTTTGGTAAACCTGTTTTTCTTGTATCCAACTGGAATGGTTTAAATGGTTCTAGGACATGTGAGCTGTCTGTGAGGTGGATATGGAAGGAAATATTCTGTATACTTTTATAGAACAAAGGTTTCAGGAACTTAAACTTTCACCTTACTTTTACTGCCCCAGCTCCCTCCCCCCTCCATCTCAAAAAATGTGATTGCCCCCTCCCCCTTTTTTCCCTTCTCACTTTCCCTTAATCATAAAGTTTTCCCCCCTCTCTCTCTCTGTATACCTTTCACTCCCCCCCCTCCCGTTTCCACCTTCCATCATGAGTGTTCTTAACTTCCCTCCCTTCTGTTATTTAGCTTCCCTCTATCTACCTTCCTCTACCCTACCTCTACTACTTCCGGCCATCCTACCTTCCATCCCTTCCTCTTCCTTACACTTCTTATTTTATAATATATATTAAATCTTCTTCTCACTTTCCTCTTTTTTCTTTCAATATTATTACAGTATTCTCTCTATGTTCTTATACCTCTTCCTCTAATACCCATTCTTTTTATTGTTCCTCCACTTTCCACTTTCCACTTTCTCACCCATTCTATGTTTTTTTAACTTTTATTTTACTTTCTTTACTTGAGTCCTTTGGTCACTTTCTTTTTTCTCCTACTCTCTCTAGGGGCTCCTACTCTCTCTAGGGGCTCCTACTCTCTCTAGGGGCTCCAACTCTCTCTAGGGGCTCCTAAGCAATCTAATTTCTCCTTCTCCTAATCCATATCAGTTCCTTTTATTCCCCCACATCCCCTTCTTTTCTCTCCTTGTACACCACAACTTTAAAAACATGCCTGTTCTTAGCAATTAAAACATTAGTTAGTAAATATAGAATAAATAACGTAGAATTAGTGAAACCATCAATGCTTTACAAAAAAACAAAGTGAAAGTGCTAACCCAACGCAAAAAATTGGGGTACACATGTTTTAATCAATCTTGAGAGATACAAATAATAGAAAGACTTCAATAACAAACAGGAAAAATGTTTACTGATATGTAGTTATATTTGTATGCGTGAGCTTGTGCCCACATCCCTCAATTAAAATAAATTATTAAAGTTAAAATATATACGTACATTTAGTAATACCTTCGGTTCCTTTGTCTTTAAATCCTTTCCCTATCCTCTCCCTCCCTTGTCATACTTCGATTACAATATAAACCTATCTTCCTTAGTCCTTACCCCTTCTCTTTCCTTCTACTTCGTCATACTCTATACAACCCCCCCCCGTCTTCCCCCCCCTCTTATTCTTCTTATCTATTTGCCGCATCACCAGTTTATTGGTTTAGCCAGGTTAGTATAATAGGTTTATTGCTCTATAAATAAAATAATATTTTACAAGGAAGAAATGACAAAATTATACACTCAAATATCTTTTTTTACAATTATGATAGTATTATTAATATCAACATTATAGGATTTAAAAAGAAATTAAGAACTATAATATAAACCATCATTATTTAGACATCATTTATACAAAAACAATATTATTTTTTAGACATTAAATCATCCTTCTCTTTCGTTTTTTGTTTACTTTTTAGAAATTATAACTGTAGCAAGAAAATATTGTATTATTGCATGGAAATTAAAAATTTAATATTTGTAAAGGTCTTTGTTAAATCATTCCTTTATAAAAAGCTGTTTTTTTTGGTACGCAACAATTTTCATTTAATCCCGCCCCTTTTAAAAATAAAAATAAATAATAAAAATGATTTGTTATTTTTTACGAAGGAATGTCATTTACTCTCAGACAAAGGGTTTATCATTGAATCCCGAGGGGGTTTAAATTTTCATTGATTCTAATTTGTCTGAGAGTAAATGATACATTTATACATTTAATTGATATGCTATGTATTAATAAATATTTATAATAATATGTAAAAATATCCTACAAACACCTGTTTTTTAATGAGTAAAATATTTAAATCTTTAAAATTGCATTTGCATTTTTATTATTTGAATTTCAGCGCCCTTCGTACAGTTAAATTTTTGTATTTGAGCAATTTTTTATAAGGCCACTAATTCCATATATATGTTAATATTTTGTATTGATATAAGTCTGGTTAACTAGAGCTGAAAACTTTAGAATGGGATATCCTTAATCCCGTTCTGTTAATTAATCTGGAGATTAAATTCATGAGGAGAACAAGCAATATTTAATCAGGAGATTAAGAAAAAGAGTGGATCAAGCATTAATCCCGATATCCATCATTCTAAAGTTCCCAGCTCAGTTGATATTTTCGATCTTTTAAACTCTTGTAGTCCCAGGAAGCCTGGATATATTAGTCTGGTTGACTTGGTGATTTTTTTGATCTTTCAAACTCTTATAGTCCCAGGAAGCCTGGATATATTAGTCTGGTTGACTACTGTTGATATTTAAATCTTTTAAACTCTTGTAGTCCCAGGAAGCCTGGATATATTAGTCTGGTTGACTACTGTTGATATTTTGGATCTGGTTGAGCCAGGTGAACAAGTACCTGAAGATAAAAATTCAAATTGTTATTTTTTGAATGTTTTTGAATATTCATTTGCTTTGTCAAAAATTGTTATTTTCCCATCCCTTTGCAACCCAATGTCGTAGACCTTAGACACTTTAAACTATGAATTCTGTTAGATTAAATAACTTAAGTTTGAAATATAAAAAGGTTTACACCACCAGTTTGCAAAATTATTATATTTTAAAATTTAAGTTTGTAGCTAGGACTCAATTCCTTTGACACACATATTAAAAACTTCAAATGTGCCAAGAGCCCAAATATTGTGTTGCCTTCTTAAAGGGACTGTAAGCGTAATTCTAAATGATCCTTTATGCAAAGATGGCAATTCCCTTAATTTACAACGGTACCCTTGAAACATTAATCTGATCAAAAATGTGGAAGATACTGTCGTTTTTCTGACTAAAAAAGTGTTGTCATGTGTGAGTTTCTCTATATCTTCTTATAAACAAGAAATGTGCAAGTCATTTTCGCAGAGAAACCACAAACAAAATTGAACAGCAGACAAAGCTTTTAAGGGTACCGTTGTAAATCGGGCATTGACATCTTTACGTGGAAAGAAACTTGAAATTTACGTATACTGCAGTCCCTTTAAAGAATGATTTTATAAACCGGTTTACCTGGAGCAGCTGATCTGAACCTGCTGGACATTGTTCCGTAGATTTCAGGAGAAGAGGAGTGTTGTAATCTTTCAGTTGAGGCAAACCTTTCAGGCATACTCGATGTATCCTAACAAATGTATATTATTGAATATTATATAACTAGACTTTTAGGGCCTCCCTGTCCTATTTAGAATTTCAGCTTTAATATGTTGCTCTCAAAGTGGCCATTTTTTATCATTTTTAAATTTTGGCGGATTTCTATTCAAATTTGTGCATTTTCAAAAATAATGATTGTCAACATTTTTTTCTAGACAAAATTCTTCAACTTTGACAGTCCATAAACCTTACCTGGGGTCAAGCGAGTCTGATCAACTACCTTACCTGGGGTCAAGTGAGTCTGATCAACTACCGTAGCTGGGGTCAAGTGAGTCTGATCAACTACCTTACCTGGGGTCAAGTGAGTCTGATCAACTACCTTACCTGGGGTCAAGTGAGTCTGATCAACTACCTTACCTGGGGTCAAGTGAGTCTGATCAACTCAATCGTTTAGATGTTTATTGAAGACAAACAGATAAACAAATACACAAAGTATATATATACTAGGCTTTTAGGGCGTTTCGCGCCCATCTTCTATTTAAATTGTGAACATGTTCTTTTTGTTTACATTTTAAAACAAAGAAGAAAAAAATTTTGCGGACTTTTAAAAAAAAATTCGCGGATTTTCAAGAATTTAAATTTTTTGACAAAATTAAAAACCTTTAAAACACATTTTTTTATTTTTATCATTCATAAACCTTCTCTGTGGTCATGTGATGTCCACAAAAAAATTGGGCACGATCGGTTCAGCCGTTTTGACGTTTATTGGATACAAACAAACAAACAGACACCCAGACAGACAAGCCAAATTTATATATTGAACACCTGGTTTAGAGAAAGGGTAGATCTGGCCCTCATCTCATTAAAATCATCAATAGTTGGACGTGGTATTTCTGGGGGAGCTGGTGGATTCACCATAACCTAATTTTTAAATAGATTTTAAATCTGATTTGCCAATTAATTTCCGTAGGACTTTGTCTGCAACTGATAAATATCAATAAATATTCTCTGATGTAATTTTGTTCAACATTTAAAGAAATAGCATTGGTATATACATTATACAGTATTATATATTACTCTTTCATAAAATATTAGGCTGTTTAGCCTTTCTTTGCAGTAGTTGAAATTTAAAAGTCACAATTAACAAATAAAAAAAGAATATCAAAATCTACACAAAGAATTCCGAGTTAAAAATTTTGAAAGTTCAGTAATAATTTTCTAAGTCTGTAAAAGTCCATAAAGTTTTATTTATGCGTAAATTACGTAGTTTGGTTAACAGGGTAAATGCTATACCTGAAACTCCTTATATGAGAGCTTGCCATCATTGTCCCGGTCAGCGTAGGTAAACATCTCCTCAATATCCTCCTCCTCTACTGGTACAGGCAGATTCCTCATCATGTGACGGAAATCATCCTTCAAGGTACAGTGTTTAGTTATTTAAAAATAAACATACTATCCCAATGTTTGGAATAAGGAACACCGCGAATTAGCATATCTTAACGACCAAGTCTGTCTCTAAATACTAGCGCTATAGAATAGATGATTGTGATAAAAAAGGCGTATGCATTGTTTGCATAATGTGCAATTCACTTTGTCTCTCCTGATTGGCTGATTTTTCTTCTTGAACCAACCAGAAACGATCAGAATTAAATGTATCCAGCCATTGAGAAGAGACTGCTTAATCGGTTTAATTAGTCGCAATGTCAAGACAATTCTATAATCTATTATTTGCTAAATAAAAAATCTTAAAAATAGTTTTTTTTTTACTTTCAGATTTTAAAAATCTTACCTTTGAAAGAAAATGCTTGTCTAATTTATATTTCTTTGCTTTAAAATCTGTCGGGAATGGCTCGGTCCCACATAACATCTGTAACAATAAATAATCTACTTCACAAAAAAAGTATTTTTTTTTTCGAAAAAAAAAATTTACCTTAAACATATTTTGTCTAAAACTCTCTTCTGCTTTATCGTCCTGTCTGTACCGTTTTAATATCACCTCACAGAAATCCGGAAAATATATTAAACCATTTCTGAAATTTAACGTCATGAAAGACACTTTTTAATGCAAGGTTGGCAATAATATATATATATTTGTGTATATATATATACAGGGTTACCCACAAAGGATGAAACTTCAAAGATGACTGAATGGAATTTTTTTGTCTCTTTTCGTGCATTCAGGATTTCTTGCACACATAAACCATTTTAATACAAAGTTGAAGGCAAACATCATTAATTAGTTGGGTCGTCTTTACAGCCTCATCCTTTGCTAATTAGCATGATTTGAAAAACATAATGGAAGCTTAAATTCAACGAGGTTCAGTCGTTGTCGACGTCGTATATATTATTACGATGAAGGCGAGGATCGATTTCAAGTTTTGATTTCTACCAAGCTTTTAAACAGCATGGATACAAATAAACATTGACAGTTTCTCTTAATTTACAATTGTAAACTTGTGATTTAAAAAAAAGCTTGTTAGAAATCAAAACTTACATAGAAAAGTCGTCTTCATTGTATTGATATAAACGCAGTCCACTGTATAAAATCTTACACTTTGAGGGTTACCCTGCATTTAAGTTTTACCTTGCTATTTCATTTGGAATATCCACCACTTCTTGTTCCATAGGATTCAATCCAAGCATTTTCATCGCCTTGTGTAAATCCTAAAAATTCAAAAATTTCAATTAAAATTACAAAATTGAAAATTTTGGATATTGAAACGTATTTAATCTAGTACATATATTGTAAGCATGGTTTTCATAATGTCTTTTTTTCTTAGTTTTTAATAAGATCTTTTTTCATGGAAGAATGTGCAGAGAGTATTTTTTTGTTGAATATTGAAAATTGTCTTTTACACAAATTCTGATTTTTCAATCCCTATATCTTTGCAACCCAATGTTGTATACCATATAGATATTTCAAAATATGAATTCTATCAAATCAATTAGCCTATGTTTGAAATAGAAGGTTTATCAAGTGAAAAAAGATTAGAAAATTTGAGCTTGTGGCGAAGACTCAATTCCTTTGTGTCTCTACAAAAATATAATATTTGATTTCTTTGAATCAATTAAAATATCAAAATGAAAGAAAGAATGAATATGAAAATCTGGATTTAACGTTAATAATCTTTTTATGAATTTAAATAAGTTATCCCTCTTTACTCCTCCTGAACCTGTTTTCATTTAGCCCCTTTCTTTAGTACATTGTCTGTGAACTGGTGGTATGCAGAGATAAGTATCTATCAGTGACCTCAACACAGATAAACACAGATAGGACAACAATACAGCTTGTTTTTTTTATATTCCAGGATTCTAGAGAGCTTACCGCCCCCCTTTCGTATTATAGTTTTAGCCTTTCAATCTTGCTTTCTTAAATATATCGTAAAACTAAATATTTTTCTTTTTTTCTGTTTTCACATTAGTGGATTTAGAAAAATTCAAAAATTGAAGATTTATGGAAACAATCTTTCAACTTTCTACCAGTCATAACGTTTTAGCGTACTGTAATATGTACATTGTACATGCTGAAATAGAGCTAGAAACAAGCATCTTGCGGCTTTGAATTCTTATTATCCAGGGCTACAAAGATTTAAGATGGGTATGTGTTTGTGAAGAGTTATAACGCGTTTGATCTGCTTTAATAAAGAAGAGTTGCAAAATGTATCAAGAAGCGTATTTTACGTCCTTTCAACGTTATCTCTGAACCTGATATATGGGACGGTTTCCCATTGCATACATTGATCCAAGGTTAGGGTCATTCTAGCGTGTAAAGGTCCAGAAAAAAAATTTCGACTTTAACGACGACTTTTTACAGGAAATTAAAAAAAATATACTGTCTAGTGTTAAAAAGATAGTATGCAGAAAAAAAGTGAAAAGTTATATCATAAGAAATCTTATTCCACGTGATTTCTTTTTTGGTTTACTGTTTCTCTTTCACAAGATGGGAACTCATTGGCCCATAGATTAATAACAATACAGATACAACACTAGATGTCGTCTTTTCAAGAATTAGGGGTTTTCGCTAATTCAAAGAACCCTATAATGGACAATATTTAGTGTTCTATCGATATAGCTATTAATCTATCCATTGGTCCCTTTTTATCTGTAAATATTTATTTTTACCTTCGGATAAATTGTCGCTTCTCTGAGGCCAGTTTCGAACGATCTAAAAATGTTGAGAATAAATCACAGGGTGTTTAGATTGTTGGTCGTTTTGTTCAAATTCAAAAACAAAAGTTTATCCAAAGGCTGAATTTTAAGAATTTAAACCGCTTCGCTGATCTGATCAAATCTCGAAACACTTTAACTATTTATAACACTGTTATTTTGGTCCGCAGTGTTGTAAAGTTTTTGCACAGAAATGTTCTCTTTATCGAGAAGGTTCAAGCCTTTTTAGATTTAATTTTGTCCCGAGCTTTAGAGGGGGACAAAATAATATGAAACGTTTGTGTACTTGTCTTATTTCAATGGCTCTTTTAAATCAAATAAGCCTTGAAACAAATCAGAAGTCAAAATATAAAGTTGATTTTTTATTTTATTTCAACTGAAAAAAAATATTTTGGAAATATCCAAAAAAAACTTTATAGCACGTTCATTATTAAATTCACGATTAAGCGAGTAAGAATGATTAAGTACACAATAGTTTCATAAAAACTATAGACGTAATTTCAAGTGACCTTTCATTTAAAGAGTGGCATATCAACGATATATATCCCTTGTACTAACAACATTAACAATCCCTTTATTTAATGTTAGGTTTCGACATACCTGAACACTGCTGTCACCTCTAAGAGCTCCCTGTCGGTCAACATATCTGGAGGATTCGTCTGGTCCCGACATACCTGGATACAGTACAATACACTGGACACTGTTTATACCTTGATACATTACAGTATAGGACACTGCTTATACCTGAATACAGTACAGTACACTGTACAATGTATATACCTAGATACAGCACATACACTGTACACTGTTTATACCTGGATACAGTACAGTACACATTACACTGTTTATACCTGGCTACAGAACAGTACACTGTACACTGTTTATACCTAGATACAGCACATACACTATACACTGTTTATACCTGGTTACAGTGCAGTACACTGTACAATTTTTATACCTAGATACAGTTAAGTACACTGTACACTGTTTATACCTGGATACAGTAAAATACACTGTTCACTGTTTATACTTGGATACAGTACAGTAAACTGTACACTGTTTATACCTGGATTCAGTACAATGTAATCTGTTCATACCTGGATACAGTACAGAACACTGTACACTGTTTATATCTGGATACAGTACAGTAAGTTGGACACTGTTTATACCTGGATAAAGTACATACACTGTACACTGTTTATACCTGGATACAATACAAGACACTGTACACTGTTTATACCTGGATACAGTACAAGACACTGTACACTGTTTATACCTGGATACAGTACAAGACACTGTACACTGTTTAAACCTGGATACAGTACAGTACACTGTTAATACCTGGATACAACACAGTACACAATACATTGTTTAAACCTAGATACAGTACACTGTAAACTGTTTATACCTGGATACAGTACAGTAAACTGTACACTTTTTATACCTGGATACAGTACAGTAAACTGAACACTTTTTATACCTGGATACAGTACAGTACACTGTAAACTGTTTATACCTAAATATATTACAGTACAAAACACTATACACTGTTTATACCTGGATACAGTATACTGTAAACTGTTTAATGTTTATACCTGGATACAGTACAGCACACTGTACATTGTTTTTACCTGGATACAGTACAGTGCACTGTACATTGTTTATTACTGGATTCAGAACAGTACGTTGTACACTGTTATACCTTGATACAGTACACTTTAAATAATTTTTACCTGGATACAGTACAATACACTGTACACTGTTCATACCTGGATACAGTACATTACAAACTGTACACTGTTTATACCTGGATACGGTACAGTACACTGTACACTGTTTATACCTGGATACAGTAGAGTATACACTTTACACTGTTTATACATGAATTAGTTATAGTACACTGTACACTGTTTACTGGATAGTGTTCACTGTTTATACCTGGATATAGTACAGTATACACTTTACACTGTTTATACCTGGATACAATACAGTGCATTACACTGTGCACAATTTAGGATGTTGTAGTATAAATATATTTTAATTATTTTGTTATTTATTTATCTATTTGATTTAATAATATATATCTAATCCAACATGCAGCAAATATGAAACTAAATTATTCTTGCATTTAAAATGGCGGTTACACTTACATGCAGATCAAGAGCCCCCGTACTAGTACGGTTTGTGGGTTTGGGGTTTAAAGTTATCTTCAAAACCACTTTAATTTAAATACCTCTTCTTTAATATTTCAGTATTTTTAGAATAAAATATTATTTTTTCTTAAAGGGACTGTAAGCGTAATTGCAAGTAACCCTCCATGCACTGATTGCAATACCCAATTCAAAACAGCGCCTTTCATCATGTATGAATAAAAATGAATTACGCATTTCTACTGCAGAAACATGTAAAGGAATTATAAGAACCAAAGAATTTTAAACCTAGAAAAACGACAGTATCTTCCACATTATTGATCAGTTAAAGGTTTCGAGGGTTTCGTTGTGACGTGAATCGAGCATTGCTATTTTTGCATGGAGGGTCACTTGAAATTACGCTTACAGTCCCTTTACACGTTTTCTCTCTCCATTAGGAATGTTATATTCTACACAGAAAAGGTAAACTATAAGTGTGGAATTCTTGATAAAAATAATATGACTTGTTTCCAGAGATTTTGAATAGATTTCGGATTTTTTTTCTTGCTCGCACAGAATTTGTTGAAGAGCCAATGCAAACATTAAAATAATTCTCTGCTAATTATCTTTACGAAATTAATATTCAATGGAAAATCAATGAAATGATTAAAAATGATAATTATAAGTAATTATAAATCATTCTGATTGTGTTTATTAATTGTATCTAGAAATGAAAATAATGATTGACAAGTCTTCGTTTGTAAAAAAGGGATTTTAGGCGTACTATTAGTGACCCTCCTGGTTTGTCACAATGCTACACTTTAAACCTGTACCTGAGCAACAATGAGGAAGATATTGTCATTTGTATTCCTTAAAAGTGTAACATTCTGACAATTGCATTTAATTGTCTTTACAGCAGACAGGGGCGGATACAGGATTTTTTGACTTAAAAGACTCAAAAAGAGTCAAAATTAATGACTAAAGACTAAAAAACTAGATTTTTAACTTTTCATACATTATAGTTTATTAAGACAGATATTTTTCCTGTTTTGCACTAGGGTTTCTTTCCCTTAAGCATGCTAATGAGAAGCTTTTCTGAAAATAGGAACAAAAATTTCCAAATTCATGGGGGGGGCGAATTAATCTGTCAGGGGGGGCGAAAGTCCCCCCGCCCCCCCTGTATCCGCCCGGCCCTGACAGCAGACATCCGCAAGTCACAATTCTTTAAAAGGAGAAACATTTGAAATAACGTCGATAGTTCCCGTTCAGAGGGTAAAGGACACAGGTGTAAGGGATATGTACCATTAACAAGAAATCGTTGTTTTCCTTATTTTTCCGTCGAGTGTGGGTTCAGTTACTTTAACTGTAGACATTATTTTTACTTTTAAAAAAGTAAATATTTTAGCTTTATTCTATAAATAAGTTCACTTACCTTTGTTTAGATGTAAACGAAGTTTCAACTGGAAATATAAAAACAAATATTTTTATTTTAGCAATCATTTTTATTATGTGCAAAAAATCTGGCGTGCGAATCAATTATTTTGCAAATTATTTTGCAAATTAGAAAAACACCTGTCAGATTATAATTAATAAATTTGAAAAACCTTTAAAATTTAACATTGCAGAATGCAGAGTTTATCTCCAAACTCCAATAGTAAATAACAGATTAAATGTTTTTAATTTTTGATAAAAAAAGTTTAAATGCATTATGTCTTTTAGGATGGGAAAACATTATTAAATGAGAAATGAAAACATGATGTTTTCAATCTAAAAAAGAAGATGAAAAATAAAAATCATGATTTTCTATTTTTTTAAGCTCTGCTAGAAACAACTGTTAAAAAATATTTTCTTTATTGTTTTCTAAGGTCGATAAACAAACTCGATATTTTAGTTAAATAAAATGCCATTTTACAATAATGTTCCTAGGACATAGAAAATTGCAGATGTGCGGTTGTGAGAACACTTATTATTTGATGTACAGTTTATGTACAGTTTATGTACAAGTTAAGTGCCTTACCGTACCAACCTTCACGTCTGTAATGATTGGTCTTTCATCCAATATTAGGGCTTCATACTCCTTCTGTTTATACTTCGTCATCCTGTATTATATACAGGGTGTTTCAAAAACTATTCTTCGATGCCAGAATCTATTTGTTTTACCTGGATAAATGACCAATTCACAACAGTACCCTTTACATTAAACGGTTGATGATTTTTCCACTTTGAAAAGAAAAAAACTTTGGTGAAGGAATTGAGTCAAATATTTAATCAAATATTTAAACCTCAATATCTTTAGAACTCGATGTTGTAAACCTTTGATATTTCAAACTCAGATTATTTGATCCAACAGAATTCATAGTTTGAAATATCTAAGGTCTGCAACATT